AGTGTACTCAACAACTTCCCAGAACTGGAAAGGCTAGGCTATCTGGGAACCAAGGCAGGGTGGAGCCAGTCCCCAGAGCTAAACAATGCAGGGCCTAACTCCTGCCTGACAGTCTAAGATTTGTCTCACTCCTCAGAAAATGATACAGGTGCTTAGTAAAGTCAGGTACAGTCAAAAAAAAAAAACCCTCTATAAAAAGGAACAGTATGTCTAAAAGGTGCCTAGGTGCTTAGGAAAAGAAAATGGGTATAGACAGTCATAAAAAATAGTTTAACAATAATAAAGTATTTAAAGTAAGACACATAAGGATATAGAAAATAAAACAGAGAATCTGGACCTTTTATAGTGCTTTGTTAATTTTAATTCTTTGAACGCTAATGGGCAAAACACAATAGCTGCTGAGGTATTGGATTACGGAAACTGCCTACCGAAACCAACCTATATATGTATCTTAAGAATGTCTGAACTTCAAAATGGAAGTCAGAAAATATGTTGCAATGGGGGAGAGGTTATGCCATTGCTTCCACAGGAAAGAAAAAGTTATGGTTCCCTTCAAAATTGATAAAGATCATAGCTGGGCGGTGGTGACACACACCTTTAATCCCAGCACTCGGGAGGCAGAGGCAGGTGGATCTCTGTGAGTCTGAGGCCAGCCTGGTCTACAGAGTGAGTTCCAGGATAGGCTCCAAAACAATAGAGAAACCCTGTCTCAAAAAACAAACAAAAAAAAATTAATAAAGATCAGATTTGACCAGAAAAGACCTCCTGAAATCTACAGACATGTGGGAGAAAAGCCAAGAAAGACAACAAGACAAGCAACATGTAGGCTGCTCCCTCGACATGGTGAACAGCTCTGAGACTGGATGAGACACGGTAAATCTTGCTGGCTAGAGTCCTCATGACTTACTATTACAAGCCACCCTTTCTTATGGATGGATAGAACTTTGGTCACAAAGTCCACACAGATTTACAAAGTTAACAGATGCCTTTTACCTGCATCAAACATAGAAAAAAATCTTTAGCTGACTTGTGCACACTACTAATTCCATACTTGTGTTAATGTGGATATATATGTTATCTTTAAAAGTTTGTGTTTTCAGAAAAAAAAGAACCAGACACCATTAAAGACAAATAGCCTGGGTGATCCAGCCTCTCAGAATCCTCTATTGCAGTTTCCTCAAAAATCTGCATCCAGAACAACTTCAAAGCCACTAGCTACGAGGGTCCAGCCTCAGACCACTCTAGCCAAGACTTCCGATAAGCCCTGCACTTTCCACAGACTGGACAATAAGTGATACAGCCAGCTCTCCCAGGACTTGACAAGTATCCCAATTTTCTTGGGGTCCTCTAAAGATGTCATCATTCCCTAACAACAGGAAGCAGTTTAGAGAACACGACACCCACATTCCCAAGAGGCAGGGTGTGGTTTTTGGTCATTCAGTAGGTTATGGATGTTTGTCATTGTTTAGGGGGTTGGTTTGCAAGTTGTTATTAGTAACGGTCAGGAAAAAAGCTAAACAAAAGAAATTAGATTCAGGGTTCTCATGCTGAAAAGAAAAAGGGGGGATATAGAAATGATAGGATAAAGGGGTAGATTATTGAATAACTTTCAAACTGAAAAAACAACTACTAAGCTGGGCAGTGGTGGCTCACCCCTTTAAACCCAGCACTAGGGAGAGAGGCAGGTGGATCTCTTTGAGTTCAAGGCCAGCCTGGACTACAGAGCTAGATCCAGAACAGTTAGGACTACACAGAGAAACCCTGTCTCGACACCCCTGTCCCCCCAAAAACCCCAACTACTAGTCTCAAATACTTTACATTCGTATGGATTTTTGTATATTGCTACAAATTAATTTTTTATACTGTACATGTTTCTACTCTTGTTTAGGTATTGTACCTATATACTTCAAAGATCTAAAGAATACGGCATTTAAAATGTTTTAATACATAAGGCTTTTCATGACAGTGAAACATGTCTGATCCTGTCAGCCCCAACTACTTAAAAACAAAAGGTGATGGACATGAAAGAACCTCCATACAGTTGGCTTTTACTGTGGCAAAGTTAATCACTGGGCAAGAAACTGCCCTTGCCTCAACTGCTGACAGTATGCTGTCCAAATTGGACAAGCAGGACACAAAAGGCGACTGCCAAACTTGTAAGACAACGTAGGACAGGCCTTCAAAATTCCTGCTTCACAAGAAAGTCTGTACTCTTGGGCTGTAGATGGATGCCCCAACATTGCAGAGGAACCTGGGGTGACTGTCCAGGCAACCAGCTGTTTCTACCATTTCTATAGTTTTACAAGTTACTAGCTCTGCATTTCCTGTTTATACCTTCTAAGGTCTATGATGGGGTTTAAAAACTAAATAATACACAGTTTTCTTTATTAACCAAATTCAGGAAAAAAACTTATATAAGAGATATAAAGTTTGTAAGGTTGAGACACATAATAACTAATTCTTACCTGATAATTGTTCTTATTGTATATAGTTTTACTATGTTAAGAGTTAAAATTTACCTTTTCTTTTTATTTAGACAAAAGGGGGAAATGTTGTGGGATATTTGTATACTGTGTATTTGCTGTGATTGGTGTGATAAAAAACTGAACAGCTAATAGCTAAGCAGAAGATACAGGGATTTCCAGGGACAAAAAGGAAGAGAAAGAATCTAGGAATATAGAAGCTAGGAGACACAGAGAGAAAACAGGAGGTACAAGAGGAAAGAGAAGTAATGCCATGTGATGGAACATCAATTAATATAAATGGATTAATTTAAGTTATAAGAGCTAGTTAGGAACAAGTCTAAGCAATAGGCCAAGCTTTCATAATTAATAAGAAGTCTCCATGCCATTATTGTGAGCTAGCAGCCCAAAAAAAAGTCCAATTACATAATACTTTACACTTAGCAAAGGAAAAAAAATCTTCAAGTCACAATGTGGAAAAAAAAAAGAAAAGAAAGAAAACCAGGAAGTAAGCTGCAAAATATTTTTATTGGAAAAACAATCATTAGAGGTTGACAATGCAAGTGTTATCTCAGGACATTTCCCCTTGGTTCATGAATTTGCTCACTCCTGTGTACAGCAAGCTTCCATCCAAATTTCTTTGATTTTATGGTCCTTTTCAAACCTGCTTATTATTACTACATGTATTGTTGCTTTGGAACAAACAAAAATTCATCTGATAGTAAAACCAACCAAAACAAAAACAAGAACAAATCCCCAAGCCACAGTTTTACTGTGCTTTTCTTCACATTTCCTACAGGGAGACCTATATAGTTCAGATGATCCTATCAGCAATGTAAGATTGTACTGTAACCACACTGTGAGCAGCCATGAAGCTTCCACACACAAGTTACTGAATCAAACATCTGCAGAGTGATGCAGACTTTCCAATTTGAGAAACAATGACAACTTCTAGCACTCTGGTTTCTCATATTTAAACATCTACTTATCGCAGCACACGAATGACTAGAACTTGCACAGGGCAGGTCCAGCGCTAGGCAGTGAATGGGCCTAACTTATGGCTGCCTCTAAACACAAAGAAAAAAATTACCACTTCTCAAAGCAATCTCACTGATGGTCACAATTTAGAAACATCAACTGTTCTATTTCCATATACTGCAAAGTGATTTCAGAAACAGATTCAGCATACAATTGTTTTACAAAATTAGAAATTGGGGCATCACAAACTCCATAAAATACAATATCACCTGTAAATCAAGATAATTTCACAATAAAATTGACAATGTTTGTAGACAGGGACTCTAGTATCTTCTCCTGAACCTCCTCCTGTAAGACTCCATGGTCTACTGTGGGATTAAAAAAAAATTAGCTGGGTGGTGTGGCACACACCATTAATCTCAGCACTCAGGAGGCAGAGGCAGGCGGATCTTTGTAAGTTCAAGACCAGCCTGGTCTACAAGAGCTAGTTCAGGACAGCCTCCAAAGTCAGAGAGAGAGAGAGAGAGAGGGAGGGAGGGAGGGAGGGAGGGAGGGAGGGAGGGAGGGAGGGAGGGAGGGAGAGAGAGAGAGAGAGAGAGAGAGAGAGAGAGAGAGAGAGAGAGAGAGGGAGAGAGAGGGAGAGAGAGGGACAGAGGAAGAGAGGGAGAGAGAGGGACAGAGGAAGAGAGGGAGGGAGAGAGAGAGAGAGAGAGAGAGAGAGAGAGAGAGAGAGAGAGAGAGAGAGAGAGAGAGAGAGTGTGTGTGTAAAATTTGCCAGGTGGTGGTGGTAGAAGCCTTTAAGCCCAGCATTCAGAAGGCAGAAGCAGGTGGACCTCAGTGAATTAGAGGCTAGTATGGTCTACAAAGCAAGTTCTAGACAGCCAGGGCTACACAGAGAAACCCTGTCTCAAAAAAACGAGGGTTTCTATTTTCCTTTTAGAAATAATGTAAAGCAAATAAATTTATATGCAAAAATCTTTTTAGGAAAGTAGGAGCTAAGGGAATATGTCACTTATATGTGACAAATTTCAAATCAAATTCCTGAGAGTGGCAACTGGTTAATTTTAACATGTATGTGACCATTATAATTTGGTGCCTAGAAGATGTAAAAATATAATCACAACTATTTTATGAAAAATATGTATTCATAAGAGTGAAGATACCTCTAAATTTAGTTCCTTGTAGCTGTCAAATAAATATTCTTAACTGCATCCATAAAACACTCATTCACCACCTATAAGAGCACCAGTGTGTTTTAAATCAATCAAAGAAATAAGACGGTAGGGGCTTGTGTTTCATGTGACAATGCTGCCACAATAAGGCACCACTTGGCATTCAGAAAAAGAGAAGTAAAGAATTTCTAACCATGTTCTGTCACAGATGTCTTAACCATTACACTGAATGCTTGAGGAAAAGCTACTAATATTATTAATCACTTTGTACTATTGTTCCCATCATTCTGTGCTTTTAGTTTTTCCTTATCAGTGGGAAAATGTAGTACAAGATCTGTTAAATAAACATCTTTTCCAACTTACAAGAAAGTAGTCTAGAACCATGAAAAACAGAAGCCAAGACTTTATCAGATATATCTGTCCCTGTGAGAGTGCAGAGGAGCAGAGAGCGAGGGGCTCTTTCCATAGGATACAGAGGCACAGAGGTCAAAACCTCCTCAGGTGAACTCATGGCTACAGCAAAATCGAGAGAGCTAAGAATTTTACATTTCCCCCAAAGCTGATTCTCAGGTAGTCACACCCAATTAAATATTTCAAAACATGTCCTTAGTCACTGCTATCATCGTCGTCATCATCATCAGATACGTCATTTAGAGGAGACTTCAATGACTGGCTGTAAGAGTCTGATCTAGCTGGCTGACACGCGGCCATGTCCCCAGTGGAAAGCAGGTCATAGCAGAAGTCACATATCCGCACAGGCTTAGAAGATTGGCTGGGAAGAAGAAATCTCTTTTCAGAGCACGGACCACAAACAACAAAGCCACATTTCCGGCAGTGGTGCCGCCGATTAACTGGTGTGAACTTTGCTTTCTGACAGCGCATACACACGGTGGCCTCAGAGTCAGGAACCCAGACAGCAGCATGCTCACTACTCGGTGTCTTCCCACTTTTGGAGAGTAAATCGGTGACACACTTATTTATGTGGTTCATCCACTCTGACTTCTCGGTGGCAGTGGCAGCATACACTGCAAACGATTTAGTTGGTGTCTTAATAAGCCATCCATTCCGTAATTCTCCTTCATCTTTAATGGAATCGATGGTGACATTTTCCAAGGGAATAATGTGTTGTTTGTTGTATTTTTTCTTCTGGATGACAATGTTGCCATATACAAGAATATCATTAAACAGGAAAAACTGCCTTGCTTTAGGCTTCTTTCTGCAGAGCTTAGTCAATACTCCCTCTCCAATAAGAACCCGTCCAGGGATGGTTAAGGGTTGACCAGCTGCTCCAAAACAGTTCTCCACTATACTTATTCTTCTAGTGTTCGCTTCACTGTTTGCTAGACGATCCACCATTTTTTGTTAATAACCTTCAGGGAAAAAAAGAAAAAGAAATTACACACAGAAGTTATAAATTCCTACAAGAGAAAATAACAAAGTTACTCTACTACAACATTGCTCTCTCCAATGGCAAATATGCCAATATTCTTTCCCTCTAAAATAGTCACTAAACATACTACATCTTCAGGCTTTACAGCTATCCAAACCTCTACCTCTCCACAGAACACAATCCTAGTCACACAACTATTACAAAGGCTGTAGAGACATGTAGCCTAGATCACAGACCCCCTGCCTCTACCTCCCAAGCATAGATTACAAGTGTGCGCCATCATGACCAGCACAAGTGAAAACAGGACAATTAACACGTTGCTTCTGCAAAATAATAAACCCAATTCCATGAAATTGAATCTCAATGGGATGCTGGAAAATAGAAAAAACATGATCACTGTTTTCCCAATAAAATACATGTGTCTCTGAGCCGAGGCTCTAATTTTCTTTCTTGGATTATTCCCAACTGTTTCTCAACATGCTCCCCTGCCTCCAGATCTCCCTTAAAACCAATCCTTAGACATTGCAAAATGCTAAATGGCCCCGTTGTTACTTGAAACGATTCCCCTTAATCTTTAATATATAAAGTTTAGCATACAGTGTGTAAGGCCCTTAATTACCTGGTAGGTTTTGTTTTCCATCGTTTTGTTTTTGAGACAGAATATCACACTATGTCCCTCAGGTTGACCCTGAACTTGCCATCCCTCTACCCCAGATCCCTGAGCACTGGAATGACAGGCACATGTCACCACATGCAGCTATTACCGAGTTGTTGCTCTCTCCAACCTCAACCTAAGTCATTCCCTGCCTAAAACATAGTATCTGAAAAAAGCACTACCTTGTATAAGTGCCTTTCACTGTTGTCTTCCTTACTACTTACAATTTCAGCTTTCCAAGTCTTAGTTAGCAGCTCTCTTCCAGTACATTTCCTATGCTAGACAAAAAACAGAAAGAGAAATAGCAGCAAAAGCCCATCCTCCATGTTTGTCATATTCTATACATACTGAAGAATACCAAGGTTTGAAAGGGAACTATTTAAAGACAAACACAGCATGATTAAGCTGTCTTCAACTCACCAACTGACAATACTGTACCCTTCTGCCTATTCCGGAATTTCTGTTCCCTTTCACCAGGAGGGGCACTGGCAAGTCCTAGGGTACTCCCAACAGTGAAGGGGACATTGGATGGCTTCAAACCTTGAAGGTCTTAACTAAGTGACCAGTCCTCTAGAGCTATCCCTGTCTCCACTCCCTCTTTTCAAGACAGGGTTTCTCTGTAGCTCTGGAGCCTATCCTGGCACTTGCTCTGTAGACCAAGCTGGCCTCGAACTCAGAGATCCACCTGCCTCTGCCTCCCAAGTGCTGGGGCACCAAAGTCTGGCCTCCACTCCCTCTTTTGAGACTAGTACCACAGTTCAGTGACACAGTGCTTGCCTAGCCCACACAAGGGATGGCTTCCACCTCCAGTTCCTTAAGGAAAACAAAAAGTCTACTACCTTATGAAGAATATACCAAAGAAGGGTCAGTGAGGTGTCTCAGTGGGCAAAGATGCTTGCCGCCAAACCAGGTGTCCTGAGTTCAAGCCCCAGGATGTACAAGGTAGGAGGACTGACTACTCAAAGTCCTCTGATCTCCACAAGCACACCTTGATAAGCAAGGTGTCTACAAGAGCATGTGTGCAACCCCACACTAAACGTAAAAAGTAAATCATAGAATTAAAATGACATGAAAAGCCCAACCTCATTTATAATTTAAGCCATTAAAACACAAAGATATTTTATCAGAATGACAAAAATAAAAAGGAAATGCCTAAGATGCAGTATGTGTGACAGTGTAGTGCAACAGGTGCCTTTGTACTTTAAGAAAACAAGTATAACCACCGATGTGGCATCCAATCAAAAGAAGCTGAGCCAATGAGATGGCACAATGGGTAAGACACTTGCCAACGAGTCTAACAAACTGACTCCCATCTCAGGGACCCAAAGGAGCTAACATGTGACTTTCATGCACAGGTCTACCCTCCCACACAAATAAAACGATATAGTAATAATAAATTTGACTCAGTGCATGAAGATATGTACAGAATATTCAACACAGTACTATTTACAACAAATAAGCTATGATGCATCATCCTTACTCAAATACCGAGAATGAAGACAGACCTAAAGAAAGCAATAAACACAGTCAATAGAGTCAAGTGGGGAGAGGGTAACACCACTATCCGTCACCATCTCAAATCCATACTACACTTCATCAAACCCAAGACACTGCAGATTTAAAGACACTCACATCTTATGTGTCACTGATTAAAGTCTCCAACTAAACATAGTATATTCTCAATAAGACACTTCAACTTAGAGACATAAAATACAATTTAAAAATTTATCTTGAGATAAAGAACATTACTAAAGCATAATCATAGCTACTCATACAATGTGAAAGTGCACAGAAAATAAAATCAAAAAACACTATCTACAATTGAAGTGCTACGGGAAGCATTAGATATCAGATTTACATTCAATTATTCAAAAAGTCTCATTGATTTAGGTGCATGAAAAAACACAATACAAGCAAATTCCCTGCTCTTTGAAGGGAAAACAGGAAGCAAAATCCAGAACTAAAGCAGTAACTGTAATGAGTTTCCCTCCCTCCCCCCAATCCTATTTCTCCCTTCCTTCCCAGTCTCAAATTTGCAAACTTGCTATGTAGCTAGAGACAGACGTTCAGACCCCCCTGTCTTTATCCAGGCTGTGGTGCAGACTTGCAATCCTGGAACCTGAAAGACCGAAGCAGGAGAATTAGGAGAACAAGGCCAGCCTAACGAGACTGTTTCCAAACACCAAAGGGAAAAGAAAAAGTTGAACAGCTAAATCACCCCAACTACATGGTCAAGAAAGGACTCTCTAAATTGGTAAGGGGACACAAGGCCAGGCAAAAAGGACAATTTCAGAAGACCATAGGTAGGGCAGACATTGTCACTTTTTTTTAAAGATTTATTTATTATGAATACAACAGCCTGCCTCCATGTTTGTCTGCACGCCAGAAGAGGACACCAGATCTCATTATAAATGGTTCTGAGCCACCAAGTGGTTGCTGGGAATTGAACTCAGGGCCTCTGGAAGAGCAGTCGGTGCTCTTAATCTCTGAGCCATCTCTCCAGCGCTGCAATGTCACTTTTTAAAAACTAAACTACTTATTCCATTTAAACCATCTCCTGAATAATGCAAACAGGTTTCCTATTGTGGCCACTACTGGGATTAAAACACAAATGTGAACAGCGCATCTCATATCTATTACATTCTGAGTGAAACTGTTTCAAACCCTGGTGCATAGTGGTGGTGGCCAGAGTTTCTTATGATCCCCAGGGAAGCTTCTAATATTAGCCAATATGAGCAACTCTGACACAAATAGGCAAATGTAGCCTGGAACTGACCTGCAGTGCTGGACACTGCATCCACAGCTGCATTTTCTACCCACAGCAACCTTACATACACGTGCAGTATGAGCTCCATTAAACAGCTGCAAAGGGTTACATGACTTGGCCAAGACTGTCATAACTACCAGGGATCAAGCCCTCTGTGCTGTTACCAGTATAATTTAGTACCATTCTGCTACATGGAAGAACACAAAATTGTCACTAATGTCTGGAAACCCTATACATACTGAAACACAAGAATGTAAGCAAATGGCCTAAACCATAATTTCCCAAGCCAGTAGTCTTCCAATACTGTTTCACTGCTCAAATTTTGCAATTTATTAAGCCCGATTTTCAGAAATCTCTCTCTTTAAATTGTTATTATTATTGTGGCCGTTGCTGTTATTGTGTGGATGTGTATGGATGTCAGAGGACCACTCTATAGACAGTTCTCTCCTTCCACCTCTATGTGGGTTCTGGAGATGGACAGAACTTGGTCACAGCAAGCACTTTCACCCACTGAGCCAGCTTGTGAGCTCTCTCCCATTTAAGAATGATGCAACTTAGAGAAGTCTGGGCATGAATAATTAGTATTTGGCTAGGACAAATGATTTTCAAAAATTGGCAGTTACACATAAATATACTACATACAAGGATACCAAACCACACTCACGATTCTTTCAACGATAAGTGAGTCATTTTATTATCTTCTTTATTTTAATAAGTATGTTAGCCCTCTTCTGATTTCACTGCCAGGCTGTGACCTATGTCTAAAAAGCTATGGGTATGCAGAATCCAAGGCCTCTGGCAGACCCTTCCATTATCCTTCCTGATCCTGAAATAGCTTCCTATGTCTGACATGAAAAGCAAAGGATTAGAAAATACACAAACTTGCTTTATACATGCACACACATTGGGGGGGGGATCGCACAAGCTATACTGGGGTGGGGATGGAGTGCATGGGGTAGTAGTGAAAAAAAAGTCATCGAAAGGGGCATACCTATCACTATGACTCAGACTAGATACCCCAAAGCACATTCTTTGGTATAACAGATGGTCTGGTACAACATCTAAGACATTTCTCTTCAAGGCCCAAATTCACCACCAGCACAACCAGGGTCTGAGACCAGAATGAAAGAGCACTAGCGTACCCAACGACAGAGTCCTAGGAGCTTTACTGGGGGTCTTAGAAGAAAAAGAAGGCCAAAAAATGGTGTCTGGTCTGAACGCTGTCTGTTTTCCTTGGGAAAGAATACCAGCGACTATAAAGGACTAGGAAGAAAACAATTCTGTAGACAGAGTTTCTGTTCCACCTGGTCCCACCACTACTCAGTGCCAAATAAACACACAGAGGCTTATATTAATTATAAACTGTCAGGCCAATGGCTCAAGCTTCTATTGGCTTAATTATTATCCCATTTCTATTAAACGGTATATTGCCACAAGGCTGTGGCTTACCCATAATGCTCCGACATGTTACTTCTCCTTCAGCAGTTAAGTGGCGTCTCCCTGGTGGCCCTTCTCTGCCTTTCTCTTCCCACCATTCTCCTAGCGTGGTAGCCCCATT